TACTTTTGATATAAAAAGATTTTATATATTTATCTTATTAAAAAATATAAAAAAAGATATACAAAACCAAAAGACTTAAATATATAAAAAATATGAAAATGATTTAACAAAATTATATATTTACTTATTAATTTCAAATTTATTACAAAAGATTTACTTTTATAATAACAAAGAACTTTCATTCCTTTTGATTCTAATTCTGTTAAATCTGTTAATTAATTTACAAAAGTTTTGACTAGTCTTAACTAAAAGAAGGTTTAAGACTAAAAATTTACTTAACTCAATAGTGCTACCACCTACCTTATAATTCAATTGGCCAAATATGTTTGAACATATTATAATTTCACAAATTGTCTTACAAGTTTATATCTATACAATTATTTAAAAAATATTTATCCAGTTATATTTAATTAAAATGACAACAAAGATATCAATAATTTGTTAATTTCTATAACCTGGTTTTATAAATTAAAATTTTGTCACAATAATTAAATATAAACTCAAGTCTAAATAAACACCTACTAATAATAAAAGACAACTACTAAAAAAAAATTTATTCTAATCTTTATTCACTGAGACCTTCTGAAAAAATATACCCCCAATAAACATGGCTAAATATATTATTATAAAATATTTACAATGGTTATCATCAAAGGATTAAATTCTAAATATATTATTATAATGTTTATAATACTCATTTTCAAAATAAGATTTCTATAAAAAATAATTATTAAGAGATTCTATTACAAAATGCTTTTGATACCTAATTAGATTAAAGGTTATAAAATTTCATATATAAAATTATTATTATTAATTTTCTGATATACTAAATAAAAAATCCAAAAAATTAAAAAACTATTAATGCTGCTTCAAAAAACAAAATATAGGGCTGGGGATTTAGCTCAGTGGTTCGGTAGCCTGCCTTGCAAGCGCAAGGACCCGAGTTCAATCCCCGGTACCAAAAAAACAAACAAAAAAAAACAAAAAAAAAAAAACAAAATATAATTTATGCTGCTTAGAACAAAAAACTTAAAACAAATAAAAAAATTTTTGAAATAAAAGATTTTTATAAAATCTAGATTCTCTATATCTATAAATCTTTAAAGGGCCCAGAAAGACAATATTTATGATAAAACAAAGAACAAAAATCAACATTTAAACAACTAAAATTAACTCTTTCTGCTACCCCCCCCCATATCAGGGATCCTAAATATAACCCAGCCTTTTAGTTTATACCTGACTAAAAAAAATCATACTGGTTTAAGGGT